CTTTTTTAAGGTTAGGTTCAGAGAAAAGGTTTTGCGTATAGCTTGCAGTCTCTTTTTTAAGGTTAGGGTTAGGTAACAGGGTTTGCGCATAGTTTGCAGTCTCTTTTTTAAGGTTAGGGTTAGGGAAGAGGGTTTGCGCATAACTTGCAGTCTCGTTTTTAGGGTTAGGGTTAGGGAAAAGGGTTTGCGCATAGCTTGCATTCTCACTTTTAAGGTTAGGGTTAGGGAAAAAGGTTTGCGCATAGCTTGCAGTCTCTTGGTTAGGGTTAGGGTTAGGGAACAGGGTTTGCGCATAGCTTCCAGTCTCTCTTTTAATGTTGGGGTTAGGGGACAGTGCTCTATAGAAGTAGAGTACATACTGGACGGCGGTGGGTATTCTACCAGACACGCAACTGAACAGCAACAGCAAAAGCAGAGACCCAAGAGAAAAAGCAAAAGATTCTGACAGCGGTGGGCAATGAATCGGGCTTATAGCCTGAGAGGGGCTTATTGGGCACCACTGCGTGTCCAGAATGGGCTAAAACCGCGATTGTTAGATCGTGCACTGAGACAAATTCTTCCTAACCCTAACCCTTACCCATACCCTAACCCTAATCCTAACCCTAACCCTAACAGTAACCCTGTCTTTTGCTAACCCTAAACCTAACCCTAACCCTAACCCTAACTTTTGCTAACTCTAACCCTAAATTTCCTAACCCTAACCCTAACCCTTTCTAACCCTAACCCTAACTCAAAACCTAACCCTAACCCTAACCCTAACCCTAACCCTAACCCTAACCCTAAACCCTGACCCTAACCCTAACCCTAACACTAAACCCTAAACCAAAAGGAAACTTCCTTTGCTTTGCCTACTGGGCGGAGTCAGTGCTGATTGGTGTTACAACCCGCCCCAGGAAAAGGGGAGAGGGGGTAACTCAGGTTTTTATTAATAATTCCCTTGGGGTGGATTAAAGTGAAATGACACTAAATAATCGGTGTCTGAAAACATATACTGGCAAGGTTTATTTTAACAATTCTGTATCAACAGGCATGCTAGCAGTTTGGGAGTTGTGATGCCAAATTTTGCCCCAAAGAAGGCGCAGAGGAACTGCTCAGAGACAGAGTTTTCAGTCTATAAGCAGGAGGTATTTATTTTTCACGGCCGGGAAGCAGCCAGGTCTCCCTGGGCAAACTGCTTCCCCGAAGAACTTACAATTTGAGCTTTTATACACTTTTTGCTAAGCAATTACATCACATATTATGAATATTTATTACATTGCAACATCTACTTTTAATATTCATAATAGGTGGAGTTGAGGCGGAGTTAGAGGCGTGGTCTTCAATTTGGGGAGAACTTTGGTGGTCGTTCCGGTCTTTCTTCATCATGAACCCGCTGTCCTCACCATCATCTTCTTCTTAAACTTTTGAACCTTCCCTAATTTGGGTAGTTTCCTTATGCATTTGGCAGGGTTTCTCAATATCTGGCAAAAGTGCTTAATTGTTTGGCTTGTCCCTCTTCTTATCTCTCTTTGTTTTCCTTCTATATGTCCTTTTTTGTGTGTGCTAGCATTTTTTGTTCAGGTTTATGTTCTTCTATGTCAGGGTGTCCTGTATCCTAGTGGATTTATTGTCTCCGCTATTTCCTAATACTGAGCTCTATGTGCCTTTGCTGAAAGCCTGCATTTGTGCTTAACTCTCTCTAATCCTTACATTGCTTTATTAAATTCACTTCTCAGGTGTTACCTGGCTTCATTCCCCCCTTTTCTAAAACTTACGAACTCTTTCGTCAAGTTCTAATCCTAAGGGGCGCTGATAGGTTTTCATCATTGCCCAGATTATTTGGGTTCTTTTGACCATGGATCTTAACTTATACCACAGACATATATTCATGAGAGTTAACAAGAACATGGCCATAGTTATAATCAATATGGGGTGTATTAGGTAGTGAAAGACTTGTGTTGCTGTTGGGGAGTATCCTATGAAAATGTCCCACCAATGATGCTGGCCTACTTGCGCAACTTTTGTCAGGATATTTTTTATACCTTTAGAATTATGCTCTACTTGCCACAACATGCGTTGGGTCGTTTGGTTCACCTTCTGAACTAACTTTTCTACTTCAGGATGCACAAGCATCTCTTTGAGAAGCTTAACATCCATGCCTATCTGTAGCTTGGGTATCTCATGATATAAAGTATACTCAGCTTCGATTAACTGCTGTGTAGTTATGGGAGCAGTGTAGTTAAAGTCACAACCCATGACTTTTGTGAAGTTGCATATGCAAAAGTTAGTATCGTTAGTCACTTCATGACAATTATCTATAGTAACATCATTACAGGCGGTTCTAATGCAAGCGCATCCATTCCCTATATAGAATACTTGTGATGGCGCTCTATTGTGTGGAAGCATTTCAAAAGTGCATACACTGTCTTCGGCATCTAAGCATAGATCCTCAGCTTCTACAATGGCATTTTCGCAGATATAACCTAATTGCCCTTTAGGAATACATGCTTCTGTACTAATTGATTGCCACTTGTTCTTAGTACTATCATAATTTGCCCAAACGTTATGGTCCACAGGTTTGACAATGACATTCTGATGCATAGCTCCTAATGTTAAAACAGGAAATATAACCCTTTCTTCCGCGGCACTAATAGTAAGGACATAGGTTTCAATGTGTTCCTCTTGTGGATCATAAGTGAAATTAACTAGTTGCCACCAAGCCTGGTGGTCTCTTTCAAACTGTGTGGTGGAACTACCTCTTAATATACTCTCCCTTATTTCCTGAGGCAGTATACCTGACATTCCTTCTCTTAATATTCCCGCTGCTACTGATTGTACCCATTGCTGTGTCTGAACACACTGGATAGCAAGTGCAATTTCTTTGCTAATCTCTCCAGGATAGTCAGCAAGTTTAACAAAATCTTCAGCGGTGTGGTTGGCTACTAAGGTCATCAATTTGACCACTAATGACTGTGTCTCTGCTAAGGTTAGCATAGACGAGCTTAAAGGTACTTTAAGCTTTCCCAAATTCGAAGTGACGGTACTTAATTTGTTCACTAATACTTCTTGGTCTATAGTGTTCAATATGCCGAACCCTGTACCAACCCATCCGCTTATATCTCTTTGTGTTCGTTTGCGGTGTGATCTAGTTGCTAACCAGGCATTCCAGCCTTTGAGGCTGTGCTGTATAAATGGTCGGCAATCTCCCTGTAAGTGTGTAATGTCTGTCTGAATGTTCATCTGTATTTTCTTCAGAGAATATGTAGGATCTAATAACAACTTTAGTTCGTTCGATTGTCTTATTACTTGAGGTCCTATAAAGGTTAAATTATGTATCTTCCTGCATTCTAGAGGCGGAGTGGTTTCACGAGACGGGCTCACAATCGAGTCTGTTGCTAATCTAATGGCCCGCTTAAAGGCTCTACCGGTTACAATGCCTTGTTCACCAATGGGTTCAAGAATCTTGGCTTCTCTGCTACATGAAAACGACATCGATTGATCTAGTTTGAATATAATTTCACACTGTGCTCTACCCCCTTCAGTACTATCCCATTGACATGAGACTGGTCCCTTCTGTTCAATCCAGACGATGGGCTTCCCATCTTCTACTTGGCTATGAGTAATTAAGTTCTGTCTAGGGGCTTCTTGCCAGAATTCAATTGTCAATGTTAGTTTATCTGTTTTTCCCACTAAAGCCTCGACTTCTCGGCATCCTACTTGAATTTGGTCTTCTTTTTGTGCTATGAAATGGGTTCCGCTATCCCATTCATCTATCGTATAGGGTTGATTGTTATGTAGTACATAAATCTCAAAGTCTGGGTTTTCCTCGGAGCGTGGTAGTGTGCGTGCACTAGACCACGGCCCTTCTGGAGTAGGGTTTTGGGATAAAACAATACTTATCAAAAGTCCAATGATCAATGTTGAAAGAGCCGGATTCATGATGCCAGGTCTTCCCGCTTATCTTCCGGAGCTTTCTTGACTCGAGAGTAGTGAATCCATGTAGGTCGTTCTTTGATCCTAACCGCGGTGAAGGTGGTCAGCAGCACTTGGAAAGGTCCCTCCCACTTTTCTTGTAGGGGTTTTCCTAGAAGATTCTTAACATACACCCAATCACTGGGGTTAAACGGATGCAGTTTACAGTCAGGTTGCTTGGGCTGGTGTTCTATTACTATCGTGGCATTTTTATCAAAATGTTTCCCCACAGCAATTACATAATCATATATATATTGATTGCCTATTTGGTCTACAGCATCGCTATTTACAATCTGCATAGCATAAGGTCTACCATACAGAATTTCAAATGGGCTCAACCTTTCTTTCGATCGAGGTTTGACTCTCAATCTAATCAGAGCAATAGGCAGAGCCTGATACCATTGTAAGTTAGTTTCTTGGCATATTTTAGCAATTTGTTGTTTAATAAGATGGTTCATCTTTTCCACTTGCCCACTGGCTTGTGGCCTGTAGGGCGTATGCAATTGCCATTTAATTTGCAGTGCTTTGCTTATTGCTCTCACAACCTTTGCACAAAAATGTGAACCCCTGTCTGAAGATATACTTCTTGGTACTCCAAACCGTGGTATAATTTCATTTAGTAAGACTTTAGTTACTTCTCTCTCTTTGTTTGTTCTACAGGGGAACGCTTCAGGCCACCCAGAAAACGTATCAGTTAGCACCAATAAATACCGATACCCCCCTTTTCTTGGGAGTTCAGAGAAATCAATTTGCCATGCTTCACCTGGGAATTTACCTCGATTTATTGCCCCTTGGTGTATTTTGGTCCCTGTGTTTGGGTTATTCTTCAGGCATCGTTCGCACTGGGATGTAACCTGTTTTATGGTAGTGAATAATTTTGGTCCTGCTATTCTAGTTTGTAAATACTGATAAAGTGGATCTAAACTCCAATGTGCCTTTTCATGTTCTGTTTCTGCAAATTGCCACATTAATTTCCCTGGTATTATTAGTTGTCCTGTTTCTAATTGACCCCATCTATTGTCTAACAATTTGCCTTTGTTCTTTTGAATCTACTTATGATCTGATTCCTGATAATCTGGTTGAAAGTTAGGATCTAGCTCTCCTGGTACTAAAGCTGTTATAGTCACTTCTTCGGTCTTTGCAGCAGCTAATTTAGCTTCTGCATCAGCTTTCCTATTTCCTATCTCTGGAACAGTGTTACTTTTCAGGTGTCCCTTGCAATGCATTATGGCCACTTGTGTTGGGAGTTGGACTGCTTCTAACAATCGTAGAATTTCTTCTGCATGTTTGACTGTTTTCCCTTGAGCAGTTAGCAGTCCTCTTTCTTTCCAAATTGCTCCGTGAGCATGCACGATGGAGAAGGCATACTTGGAGTCTGTCCAAATATTAATTCGTATGCCTTCTGCTAATTCCAGAGCTTGGGTGAGAGCTATTAGTTCTGCCTTTTGGGCTGAGGTCCCTGCAGGTAAAGGATTTGATTCGATTACCTCTTCCGTTGTGGTTACTGCATAGCCCGCCATCCTTACTCCTTGCTTCACGAAGCTACTGCCGTCCGAGAACCAGTTGTCTACATCTTCAAATGGCTCTTCTTTGAGATCCGGGTGACTGGAGTAGACTGCTTCGATGTTTTCCAGGTAGTCATGCTCAATTGGTTCTGCTGACATCCTTCCTTCTAGAAATGAGACTGGATTCACAACGTTAGTTACTTGAATGGTTATGTCGTCTGACTCAGCTAGGATTGCTTGGTACTTTAAGAATCTGGAAGGTGACAACCAATGGCCACCCTTCTGTTCTAGTACTGCGGACACAGTGTGGGACACTAACACAGTCATTTTCTGGCCCATTGTAAGTTTTCTGGCCTCTTCTATGTTTATGATCACTGTGACCACTGCTTTCAGACAGCTGGGCCACCCTTTGCTCACTTCATCCAGTTGTTTGGAGAAATAAGCCATGGCTCTTTTGTGTGGTCCCAATTGTTGTGCCAAGACTCCTAAAGCCATTCCTTGCCGTTCATGAGAGAACAGCTAAAATGATTTTGTTACATCGGGCAGGCCCAAGGCTGGGGTTTTTATGAGTTCTTGTTTCAGTCTCTTAAAAGCTCCCTCTGCTTCGGGAGTCCAGACTAGGACACTCTTAGACTCTTTCAACAAATCATATAGTGGTTTAGCGAGTATCCCGTATTGATAAATCCATAAACGGCACCAACCTGTCATCCCTAGAAAGGCTCGTAGATCTCTCGCTATTTCAGGTTTAGGCATTTGGCAGATGGTTTCTTTTCTTGTTGTTCCTAGGGATCGTTGTCCTCTGGAAATTTCATATCCCAGGTACACCACTTTTTCTTGCGCCAGCTGCGCTTTCTGTTGAGAGACTCGATATCCACTTAAACTCAAGAAATTCAACAGAGAAATAGGCCATTTAACACACTCTTCTTCTGTCCCAGTTGCTATTAGCAGATCATCTACATATCGTAGAAGAGTACCATCTCTCTGTGGCCTTTGACCTTGAGGTAAAACTGTCCAGGTTAATTGAGTAACTCTCATTCTAAAAATTTCTCTATTATCAGTTCGATTCCCTTTCTTATCCTTTAGCTTCAGTGGGTATTATTTTCTGATTACTGGTTTTATACAACTGATAGTCAGGCTCAAAGCTATATCAGTTGTTCCTCGCTTACTTGGAATTCAAGTTTATTTTTGTTGAATTATTGGACAAATAAATCCTTACCTAGTAGAGACCTTGGAGAATTGGGTAGATAAAAATTTATAATCTTTTATTTGTTTCTCAATTTTATGCTTAAGAGGTTTTAAAAAATAGGGGTTTTTTTTCTGGTTGGCCTGTCGCTCCCACAACTTGTACAAATTTGTCACTTTTGGCATTAGTTCCTGATTCAAAACTAAAATATAACTCCTGTGTTGATTGAAAACTCTAATTCTTTTTCACCCTCCCCTAGCTCCATTTTAACTAGTGGGTCTGCTAGGGAACGATTCACCGGTCCTCTTCAGTCACTGCTCTGACAGGGGACAGTAGCACTCTTAAACTTCTCATTTAATTTAGGACGGTCTCGTTTTCAGTGACCTATTTGCAAGCAATAGGAACACTGTTTTGACTTTATTCTGGTTTGTCGGGAAAGGAAACCTCCTCTTCCCCTTGCAGGGTAACCACGACCTCTGCCTCTAGTATTTATCTCCAGGAACCTTGAGCTTTGGGTTGCTACTGCTACCACTACAACTTTAGCAACTTTCTCATCCTTTTTCTTTTTCTCTTCTCTCTCCCTATTGTTGTAACTTTCCAAGTTTCATTCATTACTGTCTCTAAATTTTCATCTGCAAGATGCTGGAGTTTTTGCAGCTTCTTTCTAATATCTGGGTTACTCTGTCCCATCAATAACGCTAGTAATTGTTGTTTGTTTGCTTTTGACACAGGATCTAAGGGTGTATATTTTCTCATGGCAGCTCTAAGTCTGTCTAAGAATTCTGAAGGCATCTCATCTCGCCCTTGTCTAACATT